ATAACCTCCTGCTTAACTATCTTACCCATTCAACTAACAGGCTGTAGTGAAGAAATATTACAAGGAAGCAAAACTTATTTTAAATTACATGTCAGCGATCCTCATAATTTAGGTATTTTCATTTAATTTCGTAGCATCTTAGTAATTTTGAGTCCCTGAGCGTAACCGCAGTTTGAGAACCAGTGGACTGGACCGTTTACGGTCATTCATTTTGACACATTTAAACTAGGGATGCTCGATATTGGCTTTTCTGCCGATATCCCCGATATTCCGATAATTGTACCACCTCTTCCCAATATTTCCAATACCGATAAAACCAAACTGTTAGGTAAACAACATACATATTCCTTTGTGGAATTAACACTTAAGCCTCATTTTTTATTGTTGATGCCCCACTTGATGCATACATAATCAACATGGCTTTTCCAATGTAAACACTGTACTGTGCACAAATAAGAGAAAAACCTTCACTTTCATTGTGTAATACTGAAAAGAGCGCTAACTGCTAATCGCTAGCTAAGCACTAGCTCTGGTTAATGTTTTGTGTTAATATTAACAATCATTAAGCTTTAAAGTGTTTTGCTTGTTACCAGCAGTAGCAACCAACCAGTCTAGCGTGTCGTTGTTGTTGTTAATTACGTCATCTAGCGCGCGCCAGTTAAACGTCCCATGCTGCCATTCCATGCAGACTTCGGAAATGCTTGAAGCCTACAAGAACAAACATGGTTATAAAAACCCGATACCGATGAATTCCCGATATTTACATTTTTTAGTGAATATCGGTTAAATAGACCGCCAGATTGGAAGGGTGCGCTTGTGTGTATAGCAGCACAGCTCAGTTGACTGCCTGAACTAGCTCGCAGGCTTCGCTCCATTTATCACAATTCTCATCAGTTAATTTCACTTGGATGGAAGTGATGAATCACCAAATTATTTCAGTGCTTAGAGTCACAATTATCTGTTTCACTTTCAATGTTTAGTAAATCTCACTTTCTCAGTGGTATTCAGAACCTTTCCTTAGGTAAAAGTATCAATGCAACACTTTAAAGACACTCAGTAAAAGTGCTACATTCCAAATTTGACTTGATTAAAAGTACAGAAGTATTATCAATAAAAGTACTCAATATGTGGCCCTTGTCAGCATTATATGTCATAGTATATATACCATAGGTTATTATGTAGAAGCTTAATCTCCAAAGTAACTAAAATAACTATAGTTATCCACTAATTGTATTGGAGTATAAAGGTTTCCCGTCTCAACAGTTGTTTGGAAGAGGTGTAAAGTTTACAGTAAAAGCTGTAAAGTACCTAAAAATAACATACTACAGTTCTTTTTAAATTACTATGTCAGTGGTGGGGTCAGTCCATTTGTGTGTGTGTTTGCGTGTGTATGCTGGAGGCATCTTTCCCATCGCAGCCTCTAAGAGAGACATCACAATATCTGCACTCCTTAAGCTTGGAATCACCATCTCATAACTCCTAAAGTCCTCAAGCTTCAAACCAGAGGGACTGTGGTATGTGGGTAGGGATTGTATTGTGGTTTTGTGGTTTGGCTCCCCAGATATTCTCAGACCAGACTGGATCTTTTTGCAGATACAGGGCCCTTCTTAAACGATCTGCCCCTTGGCGATACGGCTAAAGTTGCATCTACAAAATAAGGTAAAAATTTGATTTGTTATGTGACATGTGATATGTCTTTTAATAAGCAGTACATGCATATCTAGAGGTAGGTCTCCTAATACAATACAATACAATACAATAATATGTGTGTAGTTACATATAATTAAATATTCATCTGTTCCTGGGCCTCCAGCTTTGGCTCTCTAATAAGTTTTTGAGTACAGAGAATCCCACATTGATCGAAAGGGATGTTGTAGATTTTTTCAGTTGTGCCAAATTTTTACATTTATAATTTATTTCTGAATTTGTTTAAAAAAAAACTGAGCCAATGAACAGACTGGCTACTTATCTTAGAGGCAAAACAGGGTCTAGGTTTAATCTAGAGCTGAAACAATTGACTGTTTGTTAACCCACCACCCCAAACTGCTGTTGCCCAGTCATAGCTAAGCAACCATAAATAGGCACAAGAGGCCTCTGCTGTCAAGCTTTGGATTTCTCTACATACTGAAGTAGTGTGCATGGTTTTGAGGGTGTTTTTTATCCTTTCCAATACACGAGGGCAAGATTGCAAGGGCTTGTGTCCACATCGTGTTTTTTTTTCTAGTAGAAAAACGCTGGCAGGGCGCTGAGTAGAGCTGGGATAAAGTGTTTTTGCAGTGAGAAAAACAATCCGCAAGTGGGTTTTGTTTCTATAACAATAATATCTTGACAATTTCTAACAATTTGCTATTAGCTTAAGAAACGTGGTGTGGTTGTGTAAAGCAACAACTACAGACAAAGTAAGTGGAAATAACACTTTTCTACTTTTTCTACGTTTTACTTGAATTGTCATCAACACTTGCTGTCTTCAGTAGTAACCAATCATCAAGGTCAGGGAGCACACCAGTAACTATTTACATTAGTTTGTGGGGTTACAGGTTCATGAGTATCATAACCACTGTGTAGTATTTCCACAATACTAAGCTATCAAAGTTCAGGTTAACGTTAGCATCATAAAGCATGAAAATGTGACGGTCGCGGGAGGTAATGAGAAACATGCTTTAGTCTGCCTCTGTCTGAAGGGAAGGACCAGTTATTAAGAACTGAGTGGTAAATGTGCCATGCAAGAGCTGACGTTAAAAATAATTTTTAGTCACTGGCCTTGTTAATTCTTGCCTCTATTGGTCCACGATTATGGAATTTTTACCGCCTCGTCCTTGCTTTCTGATAATAAAGGCAATGCTTTGGATCCCTTTCTGTTCGATGCAGTGCACACACAGGAAGGTTGTGATTGCTGATTTCTGAATGTCTCCCCACTCTCCAGGCCTCTGTACAACAGAGCCTGCTCTCTCCCCCTTTTTCGCTGGAGAATATCTCTTTACATTTAAAGCAACAACAGTGTAATCACTGTTTTCTAGTGTTTCACCACACGCACAGTAGTCCCACTCCACTGAGCTCTGAACATGTATTGGTGTCACAGATGTCAGGGCAGAGGATTTAGGACAACAGAACTGAAAACCTGGACGTAAGCCATTTAGGCTTGATGTGCCTAATACCGTAAAAAATAGTTCTTATGCTTGACTACATACTGTTCCTCAAACTCAAATGTATCTAAATGCATTTTAACAGAAATAAAAGGGGGGGTTCACATTCCAAAAATATCCCTCACCTCGTCAAATGGAAAATTTGACTTTCTTGGTGGAGTTTTACTGGATGGAGCCTGGCCTTGCAGCAGTTTTTCTACAATAGTCATCAAGAGAAGTTGTTTACTTTAATCGAGCTGAAATGTCATGGGTAATTCAAAATGAATGACTTGTTATATTTTGTGAAGTTCTGTTGCCAACATAGCTGCCTATAGTAATGAAACATTAAGGACCCAAGGTGACATAGCGATCCAACATTCCTCCCAATCACTGTAGATCAGACCTCTGCTTGATCTGATCTGTCCTGGGGATGAAGCCGGAAGCAAAAACATGGAGAGATGGCTGTAGAGAAGATACCAGTAGAGGAAGAGGGTGCACTTTACAGTGGGACACAATTGTGATTTGTGTTTGCAATTGTTTCTGTGCTGTATTGTGAGCGGAAACCGGATTGAAATGGTTCAAACAGGTCGTTGGAAATAAGGTGGGCTTTGAAACAAGTAAGGACCAGGAATGTGTTGTGCCTTCCTCAAAGAAGGACTGATAATGAATTACTACTACTGACAAGCCAAACACAGGGGACAAGAGGAGGGAGAGTATAGGTGATTAGTATAAGCAGGTACTGAGATTAAACATTGTCTAGCTGTTTTTCCTACAAAGTAATTCGCAAAAACAACAAAAGTGGTGATAATACCGCATCCTTAACACCCTAAACCACCTGAAATTCCTTGACAGCCCTACCACAAACCCCCTGACCTTGTTTACTTCTGCGCCAGCCGACAGTACAGACAGACAGGGAGTCAGCCAGGCATCACACACAAGGATAAGCGCTCAGTTTGCACACTAACAGTGCAGTAATGAACTCACTAACACTGATACTATCTCTGTATTATCCTAAAAAACCCATTATGTGAGCCAGCTGCCATTCTATGTATTGCTATCAGCAGCTTCCAAAGCTTAAGCATGAGTCACTAAAAGAGACAGTACTTATAATGTGTAGTCACCTTGTACTGAGGGATGCCCCTGTTTGCATAGCAATGCAGTTAGAGCAGGGCTGATTGCAAATGACAATCAATAGAAAATCCTCCCTTTGCTGCACATAAAAAGTTAAAATGGTGAAAAGTCTGTCTAGCTCAACTAATTGTTCATTGGAGAGGACAGGGCTGGCTATAGACCAAAATGACAACATTTGGGTAAAATAAAGTTTGTTTGGTTGGTCTTGGTATTTACAAAGTGGATCATTATGTTTGTTTGTTTGACCTCAAGGCAAGGCCTAGACCTGTTGTCTGTTTAACAAAAACACATGTTCTAGGGGGGGATTTGTGATTTACGAGGAAATACAAAGCAATGTTATGTTTGATCTGAATTGATTTAACTTGTTTTCCCTTCATGAAATCATCCTATGTATATTGTCTGTTCCTCCACGGTGGATTACCTTCTGGCCAACTGCCACATTGAGTGAGTCATTTGGTCAATTATTATAAACACATAAAAATCTTGTTTTAATTAGTTTGGACTATAATATGCTTACATGGTGCATATGCATACAGTAACTCCTAAGTAAATGCTATTTACTGAAGGTGACCCACAGCATCGCTAGATAAAAATGTGTATGAATGAGTTAGTTAGTTTGATAGACTTTGCCATCACTGTGTG